AGTTTGTCACAATCCTTCAAAACTTCTTTTTGAATCTAGTTCACATTACACGACTCTATAATAACTGCTCAGTCAAGTAACCCATTAGTGAAGGAAGTTATGTGCGAAGATACTTATACATATGGAGATGATGACGTCACTTCTAATACTAATGGGTGAGTATGGTTTTACGCCGTTTTTAGCAGTATTCCAGCAACATCACGGCGGGACATCGGAAATGGGCTTAACAAATTGTACCCATGTGAAGAATCGAACCCGAGTCTTCGGTGTGACGAGCGACCGCCCCACTTTTGATACGAAGCTATACACGTCAAACATAAGTAATTCACAACTTACACACACGTTATACAAAAGTAATACACAAGTTTGAAATCGTATATGCACATGTTGATAGACAATAACAGCATTATCTCATGTTTGATGATCAGTTATCAATAAGCTGCTTGGATCAATTTGAGTACACATGAGTGTTCGACAGGAACTTTTCCTACTATGTTTTGTTATAATGGCAACCAATAAATCCTTTCCCTGACAATGTACAAGGCCACGCTACATATATTGTTGAAAGAGTCATCCGTGATTCACACAATTTTATTTGCTGTTACAGTGGCTTGCCGTCACGTGGTGCATACACAACAGATTATCCGCAGCCACCCTGCCAGACAGAGCGTAGTCACAGCTCTCTGCGGTACAGGCTTAGCTCTGTGAAAATGGGACGTTTCATGGAGACGGCGCTACTCCTGGTGTCCATTGGAATCGTTGACGGTACGTTTTAATTTGTTGTACTAAAGACATTCTGGTTGGCTTAAGAATGAACTCCTGCAGTATCAATAGCAGTGGTTCATTGGCGTTTAATTATAGGACGATCCTTGTACTCGTCATTCCACGTACGTATTATGTTTCTAGGTTTGTCAGCACCATGCCTGTGCTCGTGGGTTTCACCGAAATGATAAACGTCTGAGACCTGAATCACTTTCGGCTTTCCTGCTGCATTGAGCTAACACACCGTTATATAATTGTAATACTTTTAAAAGCGGCGTTAAACCCAATTCACTCACTTACTCACTTATCACGTATTGATGTATAAACAGGATATTAAGTAAACTTTGAAATCATTTCAAGTATATGACTTTTTTTTAAACAAAACTACCACGACAGATGATTTACCTTATGCATAAAATAATTATACAAGCACATCACAAGCCGATAAATCAGCTAACAAACTAAATAAAGTGTTGTATTAACATGAAGATATTAAGCAATATTCCAGCTATATGACGGTTGTCTGTAAATAATCGGGTCTGGACCAGACAATCCAATAGCATGTCCTAACCACATAGACAGACCTACAAAAATCAGTTGTGTTTTCTTGCCATCTCCAGAAGTTTGGGCCTTGAAGTGGACTTCGTTGTCACATAATGAGTTTGTTGGAATTAACGGAGCCCGAAAATAACAGTTCACCCAAGTTGACATCTCGGGTTGTTTGAGATGTAATTTCTTTAGTCTCACTTTCTTTGTCCCACTGCATTTATCGTCTTGTGCCAAAACTCAGCATTCCTTTTGGGGTGTCTAGATCTCATTTCCGATGGCTATGGTTCACCATTCGTTTCCAGACTTTCAGTGACTCAACATTTGCATCAAATTAATTTGATTTTTGATGGTGCATTTTTTAAATTTCATTATGAGTTTTTTTTCAAGTGCCTGACAACTGAAGTAACGGACAGGGCCATAGCGAGCAATGACGTGGTAAACAAAACAGCATAAATAGCGTTGTTCGGATATTTTGGTACAAATTCATTTTACAGCCAATTGAAATGAATTACTGAACCCAACTTTGAGTGCATTCAGGCACCCCCATTGCTGATGTACCTGGAGTACATATTTTGGAATAGATTTCTGAAAGGTTTGTCAAAGATTGATGATTATGCAGTAGGTGTCAGGGTTCAATTAGCCTCTAAGCTTTGGAGGTAGATAATTCAAAAGCTTTTTTTCTTTTCCTGTACTGAGAGACTTGTCCAGTTTAGTTTCTCGCTCTATCTCTTTTCCCAATCAGAAGATGAAACTCCATTGGATGTGGTGCAGTGAACTATCTCGTCAACATGTCTTGCATTCTCTTTCTTTTCAACTAGACATTTACCCATGAGGCATGCCTCCACTATCAAATTCCTTCTAAGCACATCTGTTATTCTAAGTAGCTTATTCAACTCCTCCCCAGGGTAGTTTTGAACTTCAAGGTTCACGCGTGGCATGGAGAGGACAATGGGAACATTTGTCTGCACTTGTTGTTATGTCCTCTACTGTACGCCTGAGTTCCACTGTGTCAAAGTAACCCCAGGGCCCAGTCACGTGGTGTCTGTCATTCTACATTCTGTATGACTGCAGAGGATAACATCTTATTACATACCCCTACCACTATGTGAGTCCAAGGTAGTTCTCTGTGAATTTGGGACATTTCAGGTAGACGTGTAGGATTAAACGTAAAAAGAACAGTGCGCATACTGTATGCACCAAGGTGTTAACGTTTTTACCTTCATAAACGCTAATAACATATTGAACTTAATTCTTTTAAATAGAAATGTCAACAATATTATCTTCACAGACTGCTTTTTAATCATCATCACAAAAAAACGTACACAACAGTAGGAAATCAGTGGCATCGTTCAGCTCAATAATGCAACACAAGACCCGCCCATTCTGTTCCCAATCAGGAAACAGTATTCTGTCAGTGGGGTGGCCTAAGTAAAGTAAGTTTCTTTTGGTTCGTGCGCAAAATTGATTGTTTAGTTAGCCAATCAAATGCCATGAAATCACTTGCAATATATATATCAGGTTACCTGTAAAAACGGAAAAAAACGGTACATGTTTTCCTATAAGCCTTTTTATATCAAAAGGGACGTAGCCATGTGGTTATATCATTTGCTCTTCGGGCTTTACGCCAGGGTTTGATTCCCCTCATGGGGACATTGTGGGAAGCCCGCTAGGTGTTCCCCGTTGTTACATTGGTACTCTTTTGCTATGGACATGTATACAGTGAACTATTGGTGAAGTGGTGACTTGTGGCTGGTTTTAGTCAGCTTTAAAAATGAGAGAATAAATAGGGCCGTTTATAACTCCCGAAAGTCAAATTTTGCGCGAACTCTGCCATTATCTGACTTTGAAGTAATATGTTGAGTAGACATACCATCTCGACGTCGCTTGACTCGTTGGTTTCCGACAAGAAGTGGGATCAACAGTCCACATTTTCGTAAAGCCCCGTTTATTGCGATAATGCTCCCGGTAAAACAGTAAAACGTATGACGATATATATACAGAATTTGATATAGTTTTTATCTTTGTGTGGAAATATACTGAATATGATCCTTAAATATGTCCATGTTCCATTCAGAATAAAAGAAACCCCGTTATATTCTTCACTATAAATGCAAACAGCTTGAGAGTTTGTAACACACTTTGTACACTAATTTGAGAGATTTCTGAAGAATTTCTGATTGTTGCCGTGAATAAATGAACCAAGAATCGCAATTTGCAATCCATTCAGTATTTATGTTGTTTATAACATTACTGTAAACGCTTCTCCGTGTTCTGTTGTTCGTAGCCAAGTTTACCACTTTATACTCACTAACAATAATTTAATTAAAATAACTGTGCTGAAGCGAATTTATTCACAGAGGAGTGGAGTGATTAATCTAATTTATAAAATTCTTGAAAAAATAGGTGTCAGTTGTCGCACCTTTCATTCTGCTGCATTAATTTTAGCATGTTCTATCTGTTTCTAATTCTTTGTTTATGTTTAAAGTAGAATAGTAATTTATTTTATTTAGGCAATTTATATAAGGCCTAAATACTTCATTCAGTATACAAATGGACTGAAAATTAATATTAAGAAGTTCCAAAGTAGTTAAAACATCACTATAGATAGATTATGCCAGGTTTAAGACAAAAGAACATAAAGTATACAATGAAGTTTGTTAATTTTCTTTTCCTCTTATCATTTTCAGTAATCGGGTGATGAAATTTAACATAAACATGTTTGGAATTTGTTATCATAACAGAATAAATGGATAGATGTTTCAGTCAATTTGTAATATAATTGAAATATTTAGGCATCTTGTAAATTTATTTCATTTTACACATAGACTGTAACATAGATACTGTTCGGTTAAAATTTCTTTTCATACAAATCCATAGCTATAGAATGTGGACGGTATACACTGAGAACAAAAGACGGGGAAGGGTGTTATCTGATATATCATAAACGTCATTCAGAAGGAAAGGCGGGTGGGGTCGTTTCGAATATGTTAATAAATACATCATTCAGAACGATACACGGAGTCTGTACACAGCATGTTTTATACATCGCCCAGAACGAAAAATGTGGCACTGTTCATGTCGCATGTGTTACATACTTCATTCAGAACGATACACGGGGGAGTTTGTACATCGCATGTTTTATACATCACTCAGAACGAAAAATGGGGCAGTGTGCATGTTGCATGTGTTACATACTTCATTCAGAACGATACACGGGGGAGTCTGTACATTGTAGGATATAAAATATACGTCACTCGGAAAGAAAGGCGGCAGAGAGCGTATATCAGATATGGTATATATACTTCAGTCCGAACGATAGACGAGGAAGTGTGTACATCGGATAAGAAATATACGCCACTTAGAAGGAAAGGCAGGGTGTATAGTGGATATGTTACATACATCGTTCCAAACGATGATCGGGGAGCGTGTGTATCGGATGTATTATACACATCATTGAAAATGGAAGGATAGGGAAGCTTAATTATATCAGATATGTTCTATGCATAACTGAGAATGATAACTGATTCTGTTCGCAAGCTATCGGATTTAGAGAAGTAATGAAATTGATACACGACGAAACGACTGCGATGTCAGCTGTTTTGATCAGATAAAGACTGTTATGTGATTTGAAACCTTGGACTAACAAATGTGAATAGAGTATCTATTATCGCAAGATAATTTCTGTTTAGGATCAACAACTCCCATGACACAATCCCCGGACTCAACACCTGCAGGTGTATCAACACTACCCACACCTGTATCCAGCAACTCAGGGACAGGTGGACAAGAGTATACTGAAGGTATAAGTATATACATATCTTCTTAAACCACTTTGAATAGTGTTTCAGTTTTTCACGGTTTGTCAGCTTGGTGTCGGAGGAAAGACTGATGTGATGCAAATATATACAATATAAGGAATAACAAATATGTATAATGTTTGCCAAAACAATCTTATTCCTAAACTATGACATTTAAAGGCTTATATTTGTTTGGTTAATAACCACTGTTTATCTAATATTTGTATCGTATAAAGTTTGGTTGATCACAGTTCATGGATTATCACATTGCTGTTTATGGTCATATGGTCAGCTTTCTCGGTTGATGTGTCTGATCTTGTGTGCTCTGGGGTGCGACCCCCTCAGTGGTGTAGTGGGTAGAGCGTCTGCCCGGAGAGCAAAAATTCGGTGGTTCGATCCCTGGTCGCGTTATACCTTTCTCGCTTTTTTCTCGCTCTATCGTTTTCTCACGGTAAAGCAATATCAATATCCCCTGTTGACGACTATAGGGGCTGCATATGTTATCTGTTTCAATTGGGAGGGAATGTTTACAAATATTACATAGCTCACATTAAAACGCACAATTGATAAAAAAAACAACATACAAATGTTAATTGTTACATAAATATCCCTGCTTGAACAAAGAGCCTATACTATAATCGGATATCTGGTCTCACCTACAGGGAAAGTTCAACTCTACTGTACAAGCACATTAGCATCAAATGTAATTCCCGATGAAGGTTTGGTCTTTATGAAATATAAGAAACGATTTGTTTTTAAATAATATTTACAACGCATAAGAGGTTACGGGTTAGGGACTCTGTCAAAAGTCGTATATGTGACTTTAGTAAGGTGAAGACATATCTAATCTGCTAGGGAAACATAACAATGGACATTGTATAACTGTTATCTGCATATTTTGCATGCATCTATATCAATATAATTGTCATCCAAACATAGCACGAGCACGTGTTTGGCTTCACTCCAAATATGTTGACCTTCAAAATAATTCTTTGGACAATACAAACTGTGGCTGATAATACTGACATTTATTTGTCATATATGTAATTCATAATTTGTTCCAGTTCAATGTATCTTTTAAAATTTCGGAGCGGTCGGGTAGCCTAGTGGTTAAAGCGTTCGCTCGTTACGCCGAAGATCCGGGTTCGATTCCCGACATAGGTACAATATGTGATTTCTGGTGTCCCCCGCCGTGATATTGCTGGAATGTTGCTGTTGATAACACCGTTATCAAGCAAGTGATGTGCAGAGGGTGGTTGACAAGTATATATACAGGTAGGAGGCAGTGTTTATACAGTAGAGTGGATTGGGATGTAGTTACACTGGAGTGGAGAAGCCTGCTATGTACACAAAGGGTAAACATATTGACCGATGAAGCCAGTAATATAAACAAAAGGGTGACGCCTCCTTTATGATTAAAACTCACCTCAACCGTCACTGACTTATCGAGGAAGTATTGAACAAAATGCTGCGATTGACAAGGAACGTGCGAGTCGGCTGTTATTCAGGCTGCTGTTGTACTTGTTTGTCAGATCGTATATTTACAGGCCGCCTTGATTTTAGTAACTCTGTAAAATGACGTTAAATTTGCCTGGGCTCACGTTATATCTATTTTCATCGATGTTGTTATTTTGATCTAGATCGAGTATCTTTTATATATACATGAAATCGTGATAGAGTGATAATTGTCCTTTGGCGATAGATTTAATTACTTTGGACAGAAGTCACATTAACACATATTTGGTTTGTAACATCAGAGTCATGTATGTCAACCCCAGGCACACAATGCTTAGTCGAGTGATGCATTTAAATTATCAATAGTCAGAAGCTAGCTTGTACCGTTGTTATCCATTCTAAAACAAACTGTGTATACTTGTTCCAGGTGTGGGCTACCTCCTGGTATACATTCAGTATATCGCGGCGGCTCGTTATGCACTTGAAGTGGCAGCTGGGGAAACAGGGGGATCCTTTCTGGTTGATTATCCACAGCTGGGATATACCGTCACAGGGACTGTAACACCATACGGGTACACTTATGCTTACATAGATTCATTATGGCGCATGACGGTGGGTGTGGAAAACAAGGCTTTCATACTCCACGTCTTTGGTAAGGACATGGTCGTTCACGGACACTACGGATATAGCATCTTTTCTCCCCTCCCGATCTCTGCCCTAGGTTTCAGGTATGTAGTATCTACCTGTCTGGAATATAAGATGCACGTGGTGTTAGTGATAGCTAACCACAACCACAAGATAGACGTGGACATCACGCTGATGCTGGAGGGGAACGTCACCTATGACAACATGACCTACAACGACGGAGACACGATTCATGTGACTCTAGATGAGTATCAGACCTTCACGATGAAGAGTGACTATGACCTGACTGGAACTGTCATCAACGCAACAAACACTGTAGCTGTGTTCAGTGGGGCAATGCAAGGCGATTACTTCACGGCCGTGACGCAACTATTACCTGTACGACATCATGGGACGGAGTATGTTATGTTTACAGGTGACCACCCCTATTATTGGAACGCGACATACCAGCTCCAAGTTATTAGTGACCAGAGCGACACTGAAATTAAGTTGAACAATGGATCTACATTCTCTCTGGGTGACAACCGTGTATATCGACAATACCTCGCCCAGAATGAGAGTCTATATCTTACTGCCACAAGGCCTGTCATGGCAACCCTGTGTAGAAACGTCCCAGATGTATATTATACTGGGTTTGTTGTTGTAGTTCCAGTTACGTATTTCGTGAACACTGCATTGATTCCTTATTCATGGTGTATAAACATCCTGACTAAACAACACGTATCAGATATTGAAGTATTTACTGGTGATATGGTCCCTGTTACACTGGACTGGGTGGACATCCCCGGCAGTGATTACAAAGCGGGAAGAAATTCTTCATACAGCAGATACTTCGTCCGCTCTGCCAGCAGATTCGCTGTATATGGGATTTCCATCGACATTGTTAATGGAGGCTACCGTTTCCCTTCTGATCCACCAACTACAGGTGCTGATGCAGGTAAGTTGAACGACACCCTGAATTTGGGAAAGAATTTAATTTCAGTATGCACATGCCGTGTTTACAGTGTAGAGCTGTGTTATTTGTATATTTGTCCCTGTATTGAATATGGAACCGGAAACAGTATGTCACATCTAAATTTAGAAAACCGCAGCTGGTGTTGAGAAACGACACATTAGCATTTCCTGTCCCAGTGTCGCAAAATAACACCCACCACCACACAGCGACCACCTCCCCCCGACCCCCCCCCCCCCGGACAACTTTTATTGGTACAGGCTCGCCCCAAGAAGATTAAATCGGCGGACATTTATGTAATTCCCGCCCCCACCTGTATAAAGTTTCCCCATATTTGTTTTTGCACATATTGTTTATTTTTGTTTCATTAGTTTTATCCTCCACATCTTTTATACTAAGACTATTTTTTATTTACAAAAATATATGATGTTTTATTTAATTAATGTGCCATACTTATACGTCTGTACTATTCTTTATTCTACAAAAATATATTTGTGTGATTACATATGCAGTTTGAAATGCAGTAGAAAAACAGTCTACTATCAGAAAAAAGGGATCTGAGACATGCACGTCTCCATAATGATATTTGTCAACTACTCTAATAATTTAGGTGTAGGTAAGAGAATTCATGACTTTGTACAATTTCTATACCACCAGACTGCAGTCATTGTGAGTGTACTTGACACAGAATGTCTTCCTCTCATTTTGAATGTTCACATGTCAATAACATTGAGAGGGCGTCATGACTGAATGTGTGTGAAGTGATGAAAGAGAATGTGTGCGTTCAATAATCAACTGTCAACTTCCGTTTGTTGTATACACTAACTCCAACATTTGTCGCCCTTTATCTCTCTGCTTTATTTATTACTTGTAACCTCACTTTTCTTTTCATTCATAAATGTTGACTATGCACATTTAAGAAATATTTCAAACATGTATCGTGTTTGCTGTACAAAACCATGTCATATTTTCCTTATATTGGCATGTGAATAGCTTGATTAAGTAAAAGACTTTTGTTGTTGAACTGTTTCCAATAATCACTCAAATTGATAATATTGACGTTTTAACATTAATTCTATTCAACTCAACAACCATCTTGTCCTTTAGAATGTACAGGTGTTGCTGCAAAGGTAATATGATTTAGTAAACTTATAGTATACCCTTTATAAGCATAATTTGTTGGTATCATTCCGCCCGTTTACATTATTATAATAATCTGACTCGTATATTCAATATTGTGTCTGCAATCAGACATCAAATCATATATAATAATGTGAACAGTTACATATAAAGTATAGACTTACAGTACGGTACAGTGGAACCCTTTAATATCAGGTGATGAAATACTCGTGTTAACGAGTGATTGGTTGGGAGTTATGTCGGGTCGACATGGCCACTTGTCTGCTGGTCCGAGACTAGTGATAGATTGTAAGGGCTGTTGATATTATACAAACAATTAATTTGAAATGAATTGTGGACTGCTTGGATTTAGTTCGTGACATCAGTTTGATAGATCTCCATGTTTAGAATGTACTCATAATGTGATATTGGTCACCTTTTGATGCTGATATCTGCTTATAGGACAATGCAATGCATGCTTCTCCAGATGACTGCATGATGATTCGTACGGAGAAGCAGAAGGGTGAATGGGTAGTCATATAACTATTGTTATGGGACACTTAACATGCTTAACATTTTCCCAGAGGTATACATATATGGACAACGTATATGGACGGAGTTCGGGACTGAAGGGGACGTGACAGTAAATTGTTTGTTTAGACATTATGGGCCATGTTCAGCAGTTATTTCACATGCACTGTAGAACGACGAGGTTTCAAATGTTCAATATATTAATTCAGTTATCTGTTGATCAAAGTCCCCTTCTCTTGTAGTCATTGCTATATGGTTAACATTGTGTAGATATTTTAATATCTCCAAGACATATGAGCTTGAAGATCGAAATTTGTTAAATGGCTTAACCTCTGGACACTTGTGTGGACGATGTGAAACGGTATCTCAAAGAATGTGATTGTTTCCCTTCCATGCTCATTATTTGTAGTTTTGATCAAAGCGTACAATAATGATGCATTTATATGTTATGTTTGTTTAATTGTTTGCTTGTTTGTTGTTTAACGCCGCATGCGACCAGACAATCCAGTGATTGCAGTCAGCGAGCCTAACCACCCGTCGCCTTTTACGACAAGCATGGTCTGCTGAAGATCCATTCTAACCCGGATCTACACTTGGGGTATGTTTGTTTCCAGGGCCTACCGATGTATTAACTGCTGTCGTCAAATGGAATGAATTAACTACGCTTATAACGAAGTGACTTACATATAATCGGGTAAGAGGGACACAGGTGGCCCAGTCGTCTAAGCCGTTGGAATTCGCTATGCAGATGTGTTCCGCTGTGTGCCAGAAACCTTTAACCATGGGTCTCGAATCCCCGTTCGGTACCTAAGTTTGTCAGCACCAAATCCGTGCTAATGGCAAAATTCATGCCTATCGTAGAACGATTCAAATTTGAGTTTTTACATTCAATTTTCGGTTGATCATTATTCCATTTTCTAGTTGTCATAAATGTTGCATATTTGACAGGTTGTTTATATTTTAGATTCTCCAAGACACACGAGCTTGAAGATCGAAAGTTGTGAAATGGCCTCTGGACACTGATGTACTGATGTGGACTTGACGCGGAATGTGACCGTTTCCCCATTCATGTTGATTATTTGTTGTTTCACTCAAAGTGTATAACAATGAAGCATGTCTTTGTGTACGGCTGTTTCTGTTTGTTTGTTGTTGAACTCCGCACTGGAGTGTGCATCAGATAATCCAGTGAATGACATCATGAACATGGATCTACGCAATTGGTTACGATGACATGCATCAACCAAGTCAACAAGACTGATACACCGATCCCGCTTCTAGCCTCTTACGACAAGCATGGGTTTCTGCAGACCCATTCTAACCCGGATCTTCACAGGAGTATGTATGTTTCCAGAGCTCGCAGATGTATAAGTTGCTGTCGTCAAATGGAATAAATCAACTTCGGTTATAAAGAAGTTTGATAAAACATATAATCGTGTTAGGGGACATGGGTGGCCCAGTCATCTGAAGCGCTGTCATTCGCTCTGTATATATGTGTCCCTGATGTGCCAGAAACGTTGGTTCGAATCCCGATTTGCCATCATTATCTTACTTTGTTCGTCAGCACCAAACCCTTGTTATTCGTCTAAGTCAAGATTATGCAATCTAGTAACTTAAAATATGAGCAACTATACACGTCAACGCGGTACTGAGAGCGACAATCAGGCAAGTCAGAGTGCCTGATAAGACAAGGGGAGGTGTGGTGAAATTGGGTTTAATGTCGCGTCACATTGTGTGTGTGTGGGTGCGTCTGTGTGTGTTTGTGTCTGAGATACCATGCAGCAGTTTAACATGGATACCATCTTGCCAGCGAACGCTCAAACATGTCGATGCAAAGTCGCGCTTTCGAAGAGACAGGACACCTCTTTAGGGTCTCCCTCAGCGTAAGGAGGGTTTTCATGTGGACATGGAGGATGATAAAGCGGCTCCTATCCAGTAGGGTTGTCTATGCTTCGGGAATGTATTTGCAGCAAATACATAATATGTTTTTCCTCATGGACAGTGTTATCAATCCGGTAAACTTGGTATCACAATCTGATAAATACGCAAATAAGGTCACGTAGCAGGAACTACCTTTAAGCTTCATACATCGCTGAATGCCTGCTTGCTAAAAAAAAACTATTCGTTGACGTTCGCAATAGGTTTAGAAAGGGCTGATAGTGACTGTTGACAAAAACAGCTGCAAAGCTTTTGACGCTATTTGATAAATGGGGCAGTTCACTCAAGCGTTGTATTCTTACAATACAGGGGTATAGAGTTACAGCGAAACTACATCTAAAACATTTTTTTTAAAGATTGACATCATATGATACAGATATTATTACCTGAGTGTGTTTCTGTATCACTAATATCAAATATATATATAAGAAAATAACTAGAGTATAACCACTCTTTAATATCCGCCAAAACAGTTTCGATTGGGCGTAAAAGGGAAAATGGCGGTGTAAATGTGTGAATAGATCACCGAAAATCAGCCAAGGGCTCACATAATACAATTCCTCTTTCTAATATGTGGTATTTATGATACGGAATTACATTTAGCTAATAATCTCGAGCTCTATTACACTAAACGCTGCCCTACACCTTTACCAGTATGCCATCACTCTGTCCTCGCCCCGTCTCATACATGCCTGATGTTCGTTGGAGATTTCTTATGTAGCTTTTTAATAATTGCCTTTTAGGCTTTTGGAAGCTATCGCTTGAGTGCGTTTTGTTTTACACTGCCTTAAGCAAGATTCCAACAAATTCACGGCAGTGGACACCAGAAAAGGGCTTCACATCGAACTCAGGACTTTAACCACTAGGCTACCCTTGCGCCTTCTATCACATGAGTGAGTGAGTGAGTGTGTATGGTTTTACACCCCTTTTAGCAATATTCCAGCAATTTCACGGCGAGGGATACCAGAAATGGGCTTCACACATTGTACCAATGTCGGGAAGCGAAGCCGAGTCTTCGGCGTGACGAGCGAACGCTTTAACCACTAGGCTACCCGACCGCCCCTCTATCACATGAGGAATGTCTAGTATTCGTATTGTCAAAAACCATTAACATCTGACACATACTAGGCATTGGTGGGTCTCTTCAAATGACCTGACGCGATACCTCCAAGAAACGTTACAATAACCGTATACCGCTCAATGTGAGACACTACGGGAATATTACATTCCACTTGTTTCATGTTGATAATATCTTGGTGAACCTTCACCTAATGTATAGCAACCAAGAGAAATACTTGTTGGAATATAACACGGTCAATACCTTATTTGAATGTTTTCTCTCTACAATGCGATCTTGGCTCAATTTATTCAATAATAAACGCTCGATATAGATTCAGATAAGATGTCACTATATGTTACGTACTTATACTCGAGCAAGAACTTCTAACTTCTCGAATGCCAGAGCTGAAATTAAGAACAGTTGAATACTTCGGATTTCAAATGTGGAATTGTGTTAGATGTTTTCAGCAACAACTTTCATGATTCTTTGAATTGTTGAATCGTCTTTCTTTGTTTCGGTAAAGGAGCCACCGGCCCATTACACAAAATGTTTTATTGTAGTGGAGAACCGTGGATAAGAGTGAATCACTGCAATGAGATGGGGAGGTATGATATCCAAAGAATACAGAATTTTCTATTATCATGTTTTCAATTATCCCAAGAATATAGAATTTTAAATTATCATGTTTGACACGTTTAGATATAGTTCTGTAGTTAATGTTCATACCATGCATATGGAAAAATGATTATGTGTTATGAATGTTATGTGTGAATCAATAATGAGACCACTTCCGATAACAACAATGCTAGCATGTTTTCCTCGTTTCTAAATAGGGTAGATCTGGTGGACAAAACCATGCCTCGCTGTTGCCATTATTCCTGGAAATATTATTATTTAGCTACAGTTGATAACATTCTGGTTAACAAAAAACATATATCACTGGATGTTTTGAACAGCAGAACCGATTCTCTTGTCATGTCACGATTTTCACCGTGAGTCACGCTATGAGGAAAGATTAAATGATGCTAAAATATGCTTCTGTTCAAAATAGCGGAAACATTCAGATCACATGTTTCATATACCTTTATGTCTCAATGTATTTGTCTACGGGGACAGAAAAATTGTGATAAGATTCATCCTATAACGGATTTGTTACATTCAAATACAACACGAGGGAACAATACAGACGTGCACATTTATACACGCATTATAACTATGTCAAATACAGCAATGATGTCGGCGATAGGGGCGTTATGGGTAGATAAACGAAGGTCACAAAGAACGGCGTCATCCGTTCTCGATTATCCAGTGTATAATATGTCCATTCTAATACGATAAATACACTGGGCCCTACAAAGCTTCTTTTTTAGTCTGGTTCAAATTATGAAATGTTAAATAGATGTTTACTCAAGTAACGTTTGGGTAGGTGAACTTATGTGCGAAGTTACTGATACATTTGCAGATGATGACGTCACTTCTAAAAACGAAGCTATGATAGCGAATGGGCTTAAGTATGGTTCATAGTAGAAGGGAGACTTAATATCTCCGATGGTATGGTTCATAGTAGAAGGGAGACTTAATATAGTAGAAGGGAGACTTAATATCTCCGATGGTATGGTTCATAGTAGAAGGGAGACTTAATATCTCCGATGGTATGGTTCATAGTAGAAGGGAGACTTAATATCTCCGATGGTATGGTTCATAGTAGAAGGGAGACTTAATATCTCCGATGGTATGGTTCATAGTAGAAGGGAGACTTAATATCTCCGATGGTGTGGTTCGTCAGAGTGGAGCATACCCTGATGATACGTTTACAGAAACTTTTACACAATTTATACACAAGATCTACACAAGTTAAATACAACTTGCACACACACCTTATACAAAAGTTATACACAAGTTATACCAAGATATAACTCTTCTTCTTTGAGAGGCATTCAAAGGTTGGAGTAATAAGTAAAAATAAGATATATAGATAAACAACTTGCTATGACTTGCTCGTCGCTCCTAATTGTAATAAAGAAGTTGTTCATCCATACATCTATCCTTACTAAGATTGTTGGGATTACAACACACTGTTCAGCACTCACAATACACATGTAGATAGACATTAGTGACAGCAGTGAGTGGGTACCCGGTAGGATGAGATGGTAATGTGGCTGTTAACCTTCTAGCGCCTCACACGCAGCTTGGGTTGTATACTACCCAGGGAGCTGAGAATGAAAATCGACTGCTCACTGATCCATTGACCGGGGTAATAATGCTGTACTTGGTGAATGGAATCTGGCTCATTATAAATGCACGTATTATTATTATTTTTATTATTATTATTATTATTATTGTTTTGTTTCATTTATTCTCGTTTGCAACCAAAAAAATACATGTTAAGTGAGCGAGTGAGTATGGTTTTACGCCGGTTTTAGCAATATTCCAGCAATATCACGTCGGGGAACACCAGAAATGGGCTTCACACATTGTACCTATGTCGGGAATTGAACCCAGGTTTTGTGCGTGACGAGCGAACGCACTAACCAGTAGGCTACCTGACCGCCCCTAACACTTGCTAAGAACTCTCAAATCTCCCATTTGTAAAGTTTCAACATTAGAAACATACAACTATCATGTTCTTTATAACGACAGCATACAATTATACACTCTTTGCTTGTACCTTCCTGCACTCTATATTCAAGGCAATACTACAACATTGTGTGCATGGCCCATACAAATTATTCGGACATCATGGTGCTTTCCTATAGATAGTATAATAGAATCACAGGTGATTCATAGCTGTTGCCAACAGTTGTTTTAGGTCATGTGTTGTATGTGCATTTATTTAAGAGCTGACTTCAGATTCTTTTGCGTTTATGGGGGACTAAACGTCAACAAAAACAGTGTGCATACCGTATGCACCAAGGTGTTAACGTTTTTACCTTCATAAACGCCAATACCATATTGATCGTATTTCTTTTAAATAGAAATGTCAACAATAATATCTTCACAGACTGCTTATTTAATCATTATCACAAAAAGCGTACACAACAGTAGGAAATCAGTGCCATCGTTCAGCTCAATAATGCAACACAAGACCCGCCCATTCTGTTCCCAATCAGGAAACAGTATTCTGTCAGTGGAGTGGCCTATATTCTTTTGGTTCGTGCGCAAAAATGATTATTTGGTTAGCCAATCAAATGCCATGAAATCACTTGAAATGTATCTATGTCAGGTTACCTGTCACCACCCTGCCATACAGAGCGTCGTCACGGCACCATGCGGTACAGACGAAGCTCTGGGACAATGGGGCGCTTCATGGCGGTGGCGCTACTCCTGGTGACCCTTGGAAGCGTTGACGGTACGATGTATTTTCTCTCATATCTAAGCAGTTTCATTTAAACCACATTCTGGCTGGCTTTACGATTACTAGACTTTGTAACAACATCCATGCACTGGAAAAGATTTATCGTATTGACAGCGTTATCAGAAGTATTCTAACTGGATTTCGTATCCACGAGTGCAGGAAGCTGATTTTGAAATGAAATTGCGGTTGGTTGCTGGTTTTGGTTGTAAAACGGTACATGTTTTGCTATAAGTCTTTTTATATCAAAAGGGGCGGTGACGTAGCCATGTGGTTATATCATTTGCTCTTCGCGCTTTACACCTGGGTTTGATTCCTCTCATGGGGACATTGTGGGAAGCCCGCCTGGGCTTATATATCCTTATATATGTCCATGATCCATTCAGAATAAAAGAAACCCCGTTATATTCTTCATTATAAATGCAAACAGCTTGAGAGTTTGTAACACAATTTGTACACTAATTTGAGAGATTTCTGAAGACTTTCTGATGGTTGCCGTGAAAAAATGAACCAAGAATCGCAATTGGAATCCATTCAGTTTTTATGTTGTTTATAACGTTACTGTAAACGCCTCTCCGTGTTGTGTTGTTCGTAGCCAAGTTTACCACTTTATACTCACTAACAATAAATAATTAAAATAACTGTGCTGAAGCGAATTCTTATTATTCACAGAGGAGTGGAGTGATTAATCTAATTTATAAAATTCTTTAAAAAATAGGTTTCAGTTGTCGCACCATTAATTCTGCTGCATTAATTGAAACATGTTCTATCTGCTTCTAATTCTTTGTCGATGTTTAAAGTAGAATAGTATTTAATTGTATTTAAGCAATTTATAAAATGCCTAAATATTTCGTTCAGTTTACAAATGGACTGAAAATTAATATTAAGAAGTTCCAAAGTGGTTAAAACATCACAATAGACAGATTATGCCAGGTTTAAGGCAAAAGAACATAAAGTATACAATGAAGTTTGTTAATTTTCTTTTCCTCCTATCATTTTCAGTAATTGGGTGATGAAATTTAACATAAACATGTTTGGAATTTGTTATCATAACAGAATAAATGGATAGATGTTTCAGTCAATTTGTAATATAATTGAAATATTTAGGCATTTTGTAAATTAATTTCATTTTACACATAGACTGTAACAGAGATACTGTTCGGTTAAAATTTCTTTTCATACAAATCCATAGCTATAGATTGTGGACGGTATGCACTGAGAACAAAAGACGAGGAAGGGTGTTATCTGATATATCATACACGTCATTCAGAAGGAATGACGGGCGGGGTCGTTTCGAATATGTTAATATATACATCATTCAGAACGATCCACGGAGTTTGTACACAGCATGTTTTATACATCACTCAGAACGAAAAATGTGCATATTGCATGTGTTACATACTTCATTCAGGACGATACACGGGAAAGTCTGTACATTGTAGGATATAAAATATACGTCACTCGGAAGGAAAGGTGGCAGATAGCGTATATCAGATATGGTATATATACTTCAGTCCGAAGATAGACGAGGAAGTGTGTACATCGGATAATAAATATACCCCACTCAGAAGGAAAGGCGGCAGAGAGCGTATATCAGATATAGTATATATACTTCAGTCCGAACGATATACGAGGAAGTGTGTACATCGGATAATAAATATACCCCACTTAGAAGGAAAGGCGGCAGAGAGCGTATATCAGATATGGTATATATACTTCAGTCCGAACGATAGACGAGGAAGTGTGTACATCGGATAAAAAATATACCCCACTTAGAAGGAAAGGCGGCAGAGAGCGTATATCAGATATGGTATATATACTTCAGTCCGAACGATAGACGAGGAAGTGTGTACATCGGATAATAAATATACCCCACTAAGAAGGAAAGGCGGCAGAGAGCGTATATCAGATATGGTATATATACTTCAGTCCGAACGATAGACGAGGAAGTGTGTACATCGGATAATAAATATATCCCACTCAGAAGGAAAGGCGGCAGAGAGCGTATATCAGATATGGTATATATACTTCAGTCCGAACGATAGACGAGGAAGTGTGTACATCGGATAATAAATATACGTCACTCGGAAGGAAAGGCGGCAGAGAGCGTATATCAGATATGGTATATATACTTCAGTCCGAATGATAGACGAGGAAGTGTGTACATCGGATAATAGATATACGTCACTCGGAAGGAAAGGCGGCAGAGAGCGTATATCAGATATGGTATATATACTTCATTCCGTATGATAGACGAGGAAGTGTGTACATCGGATAATAAATATACGTCATTCGGAAGGAAAGGCGGCAGAGAGCGTATATCAGATATGGTATATATACTTCAGTCCGAACGATAGACGAGGAAGTGTGTACATCGGATAATAAATATACCCCACTTAGAAGGAAAGGCGGCAGAGAGCGTATATCAGATATGGTATATATACTTCAGTCCGAACGATAGACGAGGAAGTGTGTACATCGGATAAAGAATATACCCCACTCAGAATGAAAAGGCGGCAGAGAGCGTATATCAGATATAGTATATATACTTCAGTCCGAACGATAGATGAGGAAGTGTGTACATCGGATAATAAATATATCCCACTCAGAAGGAAAGGCGGGAGAGAGCGTATATCAGATATGGTATATATACTTCAGTCCGAACGATAGACGAGGAAGTGTGTACATCGGATAACAAATATACGCCACTCAGAAGGAAAGGCGGCAGAGAGCGTATGTCAGATATGTTACATACATCGTTCCAAACGATGATCGGGGAGTGTGTATTGGATGTATTATACACATCATTGAAAATGGAAGGATGGGGGAAGCTTAATTATTTCGGATATGTTCTATACATAACTGAGAATGAAAGACAGGGGAGGATTTGTTTCAAATATGTTACATACATCATTCAGAACGATAACCGGGATGACGTGTATCGCATGTGATATACATCGTTCAAAACGATGACGTGTAAGTGCGTAAACGAAATGTGATGTCAGCTGTTTTGATCAGATGAAGACTGTAATGTGATTTGAAACCTTGGACTAACAAATGTGAATAGAGTATCTAAAGTCGCACGATAATTTCTGTTTAGGATCAACAACTCCCGAGACACAATCCCCGGCCTCAACACCTGCAGGTGTATCAACACTACCCCCACCTGTATCCAGCAACTCAGGGACAAGTGGACAAGAGTATGCTGAAGGTATAAGTATATACATATCTTCTTGGAGTGAGTAAGATTGGTTTGAAACCACTTTGAATAGCATTTCAGTATTTCACGGCGTGTCAGCTTTGTGTCGGAGGAAAGACCGATGTGATGCAAATATAAACAATATAAGCAATAACAAATATGAATAATGTTTGCCAAAACAATTTTAGTCCTAAACTATGACATTTAAAGGCTGATATTTATTTGGTTAATAATCTCTGTATATCTATCATTTGAGTTCGGGTAAATCGTATCAAGTTTTGTTGATCACAGTTCATGGATTATCGTATTGCTGTTTATGGTCATATCGTCAACTATCTCGGTTGATGTGTCTGATCTAGTGTGCTCTGGGGTGCGACCCCCTCAGTGGTGTAGTGGATAGAGCGTCTGCCCGGAGAGCAAAAGTTCGGTTGTTCGATCCCCTGGTTGCGTTATACCTTCTCGCTCTATCGTTTTCTCACGGTAAAGCAATATCTCCTCTTGAACACTATAGGGGTCGCATATGTTATCTGTTTCAATTGGGAGGGAATGTTGAAATTTTCTCACTATATACCTAAACATAATTTAACTGTACAGACGTAGGTGATTTTAACACAGTCCACGGATTTCCGCGAGAAATATAATTGATTGATTTATGGCCTTATTTAGTTTTATGTGACCATCACGCCGAAAGCGCGTGGCTGGTCATAGCATGCAATATCCTCTTAATAAATCAGTTTAAAATATAAATATATACTTTTCAAAAGAAGTTAAGAAGACTACGATAGTCTCTCACATCATGGCTGATTGTATTGCAAAATACAATCTTATAATTGTGGGCGTCCTTCAACTTAGTTTGAGAAGAATAGTATGTTACAGTGTGTCATACTGTTGTCCGTTAATATTTTTTTTTGACATTTGATTTATGATCAACTTGTATTGAGTATCTTGTCTTGTGCAAATTTACAAGTATATGTATTTGCATATAGTAATTTGATAAACACCGCTCTGTTTGAGTGAGTATCGTTTTTAACAATATTCCAGTAATATCACGGCGGGGGGCACCTGAAAGGGGCTTCGCAAATTGTACGCATCTGGGGAATCGAACCTAGCTTACCCCACTGTCCCCGTCGTTGTGACAATGGTGTTATCACAGTACACATGTGAACTTTGGTTAACTACACATATGGAGACATCCTAATATTTTATGTATTATCTAAGTATAGTTTTGTAAAAATTGTGTATGTTGGTGGATGGGTTGTGTTGTCTGTCTGTCTTCGTCAAGCTGTCATGCTCTGCGTGTGTATGTATGTGTGTGTGTGTGTGTGTGTGTGTGTGTGTGTGTGTGTGTGTGTGTGTGTGTGTGTGTGTGTGTGTGTGTGTGTGTGTGTGTGTGTGTGCGTGTGTGTGTGTGTGTGCGTGCGTGCTTGCGTGCGTGCGTGTTTCCGTGTGTGTGTGCGTCTCTCTGTGTGTCTCTTTCTGTCTCTCTCTCTGTGTCTGTGTCTGGGTGTTGGTGGGTGTGCGTATGTGTGTATGTGTGTGTGTCTGTGTCTCTATGTGTATGTGTGTATGTGTGGGGGGTGGGGGGGGGGGTGGGGGGTGGGGTTGGGGTGGTGGGGGTGGGGGTGTAATTACATAGCTCACATCAAAACGCCCAATTGATAAAAAAACCCATACACTTGTTAATTGTTACATAAATATCCCTGCTTGAACAAAGAGCCTATACTGTAATCGGATATCTGGACTCACTGAGCGGAAAAGCACATTAGCATCAAATGTAAAGGTTTGGTCTTAATGAAATATAAGGCACGATTTGTTTTTAAATAGTGTTTACAACGCATAACATTAATTTCTATTTTCCAAGGAAAGAGGTTACGGGTTAGGGACGCTGTCAAAAGTCATGGATGTGACTAAGTAAGGTGAAGACATATATCTAATCCATCTGTTAGGGAAACATGACGGTGTACATTGTATAACTTTTATCTGCATATTGTAGATGCATCTTTATCAATATAATTGTCATCCAAACATCCAAACATCGGACAGGCACGGCTCCACTCAAAATATGTTGACCTTCAAAATAAATCTTTGGACAATACAAACTGTGGCTGATAATACTGACATTTATTTGTCATACATGATCTATATGTAATTCATAATTTGTTACAGTTCAATGTATCCTTTAAAGTTTCAGGGCGGGCTCGTAGCCTAATGGTTAAAGCGTTCGCTCGTCACGCCGAAAGTTCGGGTTCGATTCCCGACATAGGTACAATGTGTGATTTCTGGTGTCCCCCGCCGTGATATTGCTGGAATGTTGCTATCGATAACACCGTTATCAAGCAAATGATGTGCAGAGGGTGGTTGACAAGTGTATACACACGTACATGAAGGAGAAACAGTTTTTAAGTGTAGTGGATTGGGATGTAGTTACACTGGAGTGTAGAAGCCTGCTACGTACACAAAAGGGTCAACATATTGACCGATGAAGCCAATAACATGAAAAAGGGTGACGCCTCGTTTATGATAAAAACCCACCTCAGCCTCCCATCACCAAATGAAGAAAACAACAGCTAATAACACTGTGGCATATTCATATACACAGCAGCACACATGCACGTAATTATGTTTTCATATTAACTGTTTCACACACTTCCATTCGGTAGATGTGACCACGTATTTATATTGACAGTCATATAACGACCAACTGTATGGCTGTAAAACACATTGTCAATCCGGACGAGTGACAACTACGCTCAGCGTGGGAATGTTCAGAATGCCCTACAGTTACACTGTCACTGTGACTTACTGAGGAAGTGATGAACAAAACGATGTTATTGGTTGTTGTTTGTCAGATCGTATATTTACAGGCCGCCTGGATTTTAGTAACTGTGTGAAATAACGTTTAATTTGCTTGGGCTCACGTTATATCTATTTTCATTGATGTTGTTATTTGGAACTAGATCGATGAGTGTTTTTTTAATATACCAAGAAATCATGATAGAGTGACTATTGTCCTTTGGCGATCGATTTAATGATTTTGGATAACAGTCACATTGACACATATTTGGTTTGTAACATCAGAGTCATGAATGTCAACCCAAGGCACGCAATGCTTAGTCGAGTGATACGTTGAAACTATCAATTGTCCGAGTCTAGTTTGTACCGTTGTTATCCATTCTAAAACACTACTAACAAACTGTATATACTTTTTCCAGATGTGAGCTACCTACTGGCTTATATTCAGTTTAACTGGCCGGCTAGTCATGCAGTTACAGTGGCAGCTGTGGAAACAGGTGGATCTTTTCTGGTTGATTTTCCACAGCTGGGATATAACGTCACAAGGACTGTAACACCATACGGGTACACTTGGGTTAACATAGATCCATTATTGCCGCTGACGGTAGGTGTGGAAAACAAGGCTTACATAATCCATGTCTTTGGTAAGAACATGGGCGTTCACGGATAAATTGGAACTGACGTCTATTCTCCCCTCCCGATCTCTGCCCTAGGTTCCAGGTATGTAGTATCCACCTGTCTGGGATACCAGACACAGGTGGTGTTAGTGATAGCTAGCCACAACCACAAGACGGACGTGGACATCACGCTGATGCTAGAGGGGAACGTCACCTATGACAACATGACCTACAACGACGGAGACACGATTCACGTGACTCTAGATGAGTATCAGACCTTCACGATGAAGAGTGACTATGACCTGACTGGAACTGTAATCAACGCAACAAACACTGTAGCTGTGTTCAGTGGTACAATGCATATGCAACGTTATGTCCTTTCTGTGGTGCAACTTTTACCCGTACGACATCATGGGACGGAGTATGTTATGTATATAGGTGGCGACACACATTATACGAACGCGGCATACCAGCTACAAGTTATAAGTGACCAGAGCGACACTGAAATTAGGTTGAACAATGGATCTACGTTCTCTCTGGGTGACAACCGTGAATATCGCCAATACCTCGCCTATAATGAGAGTCTATATCTTACTGCTACAAGACCTATCATGGCAACCCTGTGTAGAAACAGCCCAGATGTATATTCAGTTGGGTTTGTTGTTGTAGTTCCAGTTACGTATTTCGTGAACAGTGCATTCATTCCTTTTACAGCCTGTATAAACATCCTGGCTAAACAACACGTAACGGATATTGAAATATTTAGTTCTGATATAGCCCCTGTTATATTTGACTGGGTGGACATCCCCGGTAGTGACTACAAAGCGGGAACAAAATGTTCAAACAGCAGATGCATCGTCCGCTCTGCCAGCAGATTCGCTGTATATGGGTTTTCCGGCGACATGTTTAATGGAGGCTACCGTTTCCCTTCTGATCCACCAACTACAGGTACTGATGCAGGTAAGTTGGAATATACCTTGCATTTTGGACAGAATTTAATTTCAGTATACATACACCGAGTTTACAGTGTAGAGCTGTGTTTTTTGTACATTTATCCCTGTATTGAATTTGGAACCGGAAACAGTATGTCGCATCTAAATTTAGAATACTCAAGCCTTAAGTGGGACCGCAGCTGGTGTTGAGAAACGACACATAAGCAATTTCTGTCCCAGTGACCAACCACACACAACCACCCCACCCCACCACCCCCCCCCACCCCGCCCACACCACACCCTTCCACGGACGACTTTTATTCGTAAAGACTCGCCCCTAGAAGATTAAATCGGTATACATTTATGTAATTCCCTCCCCCACCTGCATAAAGTATCCCCATATTTATTTTTGCATATATTTTTTATTTTTGTTTCATTAGTTTTACCCCTACATCTTTTATACTATAAAACTACATTTTTCTTGTAAAAGCCTGTTTGTTTACACAAATATATAAATACATCATTTGCGATGTTTTGTTTAAATTAATGTGCCAGATAGATACGTCTTTACTGTACTTTATTCTACAAAAATATATTTATGTGATTACATGTGCAACTTGAAATGCAGTAGCGAAACAATCTACTATCAGAAAAGGGATCTGAGACATGCATGTTGTCATTATAATATTTGTCTTTAACTACTTTAGTAACTTAGGTGTAGGTAAGACAATTCATGTACAATTACTATACCACCAGACTGCAGTCATTGTGAGTGTACTTGACACAGAATGTCTTCATCTCATTTTGAATGTTCACATGTCAATAACATTGAGAGGGCGTGATGACTGAATGTGTGTGAAGCGATGAAAGAGAATGTGTGCGTTCAATAATCAGTTGTCAACTCCAACATTTGTCGCCCTTAATCTCTCTGCTTTATATATTTTTTGTACTCTCACTTTTCTTATCATTCACATATGTTGACATTGAACATTTACGAAATAAGTCAATCGTATATCATGTTTGCCGTACAAAACCGTGTTTTATTTTCCTATAGCGCATTAACATGTGAATAGTTTAATTACGTTAAATACTTTTGTTGTTGAAATGTTTCCAATCATCACTCATATTGATAATATTGACTTTGAACATTAATACCATTCAACTTGTTTTCCTCTCTCCACAAACATCTTGCCCTTTAGAATGTACAGGTGTTGCTGCAAAGGTAATATGATTTTGTACATTTATAGTAGACCCTTTATAAGCATGGTTTGTAGGTATCATTCCGACTGTTTAGACTTATAATCTGACTCGTATATCCAATACTGTGTCTGCAATCAGATATCAAATCATTCATAATAAAGTGAAAGATTACATAGAAAATATACACTTACAGTATGGTGCAGTGGAACCCTTTAATACCAGACGATGAAATATTCGTGTTGACGAATCATTGGTTGGGAGTTATGTCGGGTCGACACGTCCACTTGTCTGCTGGCCCGAGACAAGTGATATATTGGACTTGTGATATTATACAAACAAATAGTTTAAGAAGAATTGTGGACACGTTGGATTTAGCTCGTGACATCTACTGTTATACACCAGAGAAAAAGTTAAACACTTTAATTCATCTCCAGGTTTAGAATATATCTACACGTGACATTGATCTTATTTTGATGCTGTTATCTACTTAAAGGTTGAACAAGGACAATGCAAGCTTCTCCAGATGACTGCAAGATGGTTGTATCGTATTGTATGGTTCAGAGAAACAGAAGAATGAATGGGTTGTAAAATAACTCTTGCCATAGGACATTGCACATGCTCAACATTGCCTCAGGTGTATACAAAATGGACAGCGTATCAGAAAGTGTCCAGAAGACGGGATTTACAGATTGACAGGGTCCGGACTGACGGGTGTCCGGATTGATGGGTGTCAGGTCTGTCGGGTACATGTCTGAAGTGACATGGAAGTAAATTGTTTGTTCAGACATTATGGGCCTTGTTCAGCAGTTACTTCACATGCACTGTAGAACGACGAGGATTAAAAGTTTTTAGACATAAATTCAGTTATCTGTTCATCAAAGTCCCCTTCTCTTAAATTAATTGCTACAAAGTCTCCTTCTCTTAAATTAATTGCTACATGTTTAACATTGCGTAGATGTTTTAGATTCCCCAAGACACATGATGTTGAAAATCGAAATTTGTGAAATGGCCTAACCTCTGAACCCTGTGATGTACATGTGGTGTGGACTTGACGATGTGAAACCGTATCTCAAGGAATGTGATTGTTTCCCCTTTCTTGCTAATTATTTGTTTTTTTTATGAAAGCCTACAATAATTATGCATTTCTATGTTATGTTTGTTTATTTGTTTGCTTGTTTGTTGTTTATCGCTACACGCGAGTCTGGACCAGATAAACCAGTGATTGCCACCATGAGCATCCGTCCACGCAATAGGGATACGGTAAAATGCATCAACCAAGTCAGCGAGCCTGATGACCTGATGCTGTTAGTCGCCTCTTACAAGCATGGTCTGCTGAAGACCTATTCTATCCCGGATCTACACTTGGGGTATGTTTGTTTCTAGAGCCTACAGATGTGTTAACTGCTGTCGTCAAAAGGAATGAATTAACTACGGTTATAACAAAGTGAGCCATTACGTACACTCGGGTTAGAGGGACACAGGTGGTCCAATCGTTTAAGCCGTTGGAATTCGCTAAGCAGATGTGGCCCACTATGTGCCAGAAACCGATAATCATTGGGTTCAAATCCGGATTCGCAATGACTATGTTGCTGTGTTTGTCACAACCAAACCCGTGCTAGAGGTAAAGGTCACGTGCATTGTAGAACGATATGTGTTAAAACATTCAATTATCTGTTGATCAATATCCCCTTTTCTAGTAGTAATAAATGTTGCATGTTTGACAGGTTGTTTATATTTTAGATTCTCCAAGACACAAGAGCTTGAAGATCGAAAGTTGTGATTTGGCCAAAACCTCTGGACACTGATGTACATTTGTTATTGACTTGACCCGGAATGTGACTGTTTCCCCGTCCATGTTGATTATTTAATGTGTATGACTGTTTCTGTTTGTTTATTGTTGAACTCCTCACTGGAGTCGGTATCAGACAATCCGGTGATTGACATCATGTACATCGATCTACGTAATTTGGTACGATGATATGCATAAACTAAGTCAGCAAGCCTGACAAACCAATCCCACTAGTCGCCTCTTACGACAAGCATGGGTTTCTGCAGACCCATTCTAACCCGTATCTTCACGGGAGTATGTATGTTTCCAGAGCCTGCAGATGTATTAGTTACTGTCGTCAAATGGAATATATCAACTTCGGTTATAGTTTGTTTGTTTGTTGTTTAACGCCGCACTCAACAAAATTCCAGCTATATGACGGCGGTCTGTAAATAATCGAGTCTTGAAAAACACTTAGAGCGGTGTAAAACACAATTCACTCACTTGGTCCCGTCCAGTTAGAAATGTCCAGGTGAAGACTCACTAAACTCTCCACAGTGAGTGAGTTGTGTTTATCATTGCATTGATCATTTTTCACATTACTGTGGGAGTAAAGCCCAGAGTGTTTGTTTATTCGTAGTTTAACGTCACACACCACAATAGTACACCTATATAACAACAGTCTGTAAGTAATCGAGTCTGGACCAGACAACCAGTGATTGACTTCACGAGCATTGAGCTAGAAATTTGGATTGGATGACATGTATCAACAAAGTCAGCGAGCCTGACTACCCGATCTCATCAGTCTTACGACATACAAAGGTTGCCAAGGACCTCCTTTCTTACTTGGAAGCCTAACTGGCTCTATTTCTATTCAGTTTCTTTATTTCAAGTTGAGTAGCAACCATTTGTTCCTGCAAGGCACCTACGACCTCCGCTCAGTTCAATAACAAAGACATCTGATCAGTGTAGACCAACTATTAAGAAAACATGAATCCAAACTGAGCATGATAGCTGCAGTGTATTTTAATACTATCTATACCGAAACGTCGCATTTACGATATTTAAGAAGTTGTCTACTGTGGCGGGACATTGTTTGGAGTAAAATACTTATCATTTCCACGGACTAACAATGCCATGAACGCAACGTTATAACTGTGACTTAATACTCATCTCAATATAGTTATGGTAATATGGTACATGGTATATGATATATATATTGCTTTCTTACTGATATGAAACACGTAGACAGTTCGCGTCACGAGTAATACCTTCAACAGACGACTGATTTGCGACGAGAATGGAGACGAGAGATGGGTTGACAGCCACAGAAATATCCTCTGGTAATGGTATGTTTTTATAACGCTGTACCATGCCGATACGACTGAGCTCTGCAAATCGATGGAATATCGGCTGCTCTTCAAAATCATGATCCATCATAATTCATGCACATTAGAAAACTGTTGTCATGAACTGGTGAAATACACATAGGCTTAACCATTCAGATGGACGCGTGCACTACATTTAATCTGACATTTAAGTTGTAAACAGTGTGAATGTGAACATTCATTACACGGGCATATTCCCGTGAACAATGCCGATTCATTCATCACATGAACACAGTTCTCATTTTACTTCAGACAACGCAATAGCTACCAGAAAATGTGTTTGTAGCACATATTGCCTCAGTTACGCTTATAACTATGTTTATCATAAATTATAATTATAATGTTATCGATGAGGTAAACCCACCAGGTAAACTTGGTATCACTATCCGATAAATATGCAAATAAAGTCACCAAGCAGAGCTACGTGTGAACTCCATACATCGATACAATGTCTGCTTCCTCAATAAACTATTTAGTCACGTGCCTGGTATGTTCAGATAAGGGCTTCCCAACGTGCCTCATCGTGTAGACAAACATGGCCGCAAATCATTTGGCACCATATCATCATTGGGACAATTCACTCACACACTGTACTTACATGCGGTTTCTAAAGTTACATAATCGAGCGAAATGACGTCCTGGCATTATTTTTAGAATGACATCATCTGATAACGAGATTATTATCACCCTCGTGTGTTTCCGAATCATAACCATAAAAGGTTCGAATAAAATAATTCTTATTCCACGCTTGTAACAACATTCAGTTGTAGGCATTTATGATTCAAATCGTTTGATCACGTGGTAGTTTCATATTAAACATACCGCCTCTGTGTTCTGGTAGTAAAACGTCCGCCCGGATAGCGGAAGGTCGGGTTTCGATCCCCTTCCGCGTCATACCAAAAGACGTTAAATGGTGGTACTTGTGCTACCCTCGGCATTTAGGGGCTAAAATAAAGATTGGTCGGTTCGGAGTCAGTACACTGTGTCTGATTGTGGTATTCATGTTACACTGCGGCATGGTATATCAGTGGACTAGCAATATAAAATGTGCCCTAGTCTGGACAAGTACAATCATCCACACACATGCTGTTATTGCACTACAGAAGTTGAATAAGTTGAAGTTGAAACCCCAACAGAATCACTCCCAAGAAATGTTACAATAACTGTTTACCCTAGTCTGTCTTACAGACCCTGATACAAATATATATCAAATACAGCCCATGCAAGTCTTTAATGTTTGGCAAGTCTAGATCACTGAAGAGAGTCACTGGGCTCCTTTTTATTATATTTTTTTTAAGATAACTGAACAACTGGTTTTTTTATGTACGATATGTTCATTTCAGAGACTAGATTTTAGTCTAATGTTTACCCCTCAATATGACATTGTGGGCGAATATAACATTCCACTTGTTTCAATGTGTAAAATATATCTAAGTGAACCTTAACCCACTGTAAAACAACCAGAGAAATACCTGCTGAAACACATCACGGCCAATCGTCATTGAGTTGGCTCAACTATTCAATAACATACACGATATGGATTCAGATAAAATGTCACTACAAAGTTATGTACATATATTCGAGTTAGAATTTCTTATTTCTCAAATTTCGTGAAATTAGCAGGGGTGAAATTAAGAACAGCTGAACACTTCTGATATAAAATATGGAATTGTGTTTTTTGACGGTGAACGGAATGTGGCGAAAACATACTACATTACAATATCTGGAAGCCTCTACACAAAATCTGGAGGACACCAACTAATATTGAGACTAAAATGAATATTCCAAAGCCTCGAAGTAAATTTTGTGGGGACGTCCTTGTAGATGGGTACAATATGTGACGCCCATTTTGGCATCCTCCACCCTTTGGGGACACTGCTAAAACAGCATACAGCTATACTCATGCTTGTACTAGGAGGCGACTAAAGGGACCGTATGGTCAGGTCGATCCTCATTGTGTCAATCACTGGATTGTCTGGGCCAGACTCGATAATTTAAAGACCGCCCTCACATACCGAGTTCAAAGTTAAATAACAAACAACACAACAACATGTATACTCACACACAAAATATAGACAGATATACTTTTTTGACTGCAAGGGCAGGGCAATAAAATAACAATTTATTGAACCTAACCACATAAAACCTACAATGCTTGTTAATACTTAACTTAGTAATTAGTAATCAAGGCTATTTCAATAAAGTATTCAATGTAAATTAGTGTCCGAAAGAAACGATACCACCTGTTTGCAACGACATAAAAGAAAAACTAAACAATGCAGAAGTTTAGGATTGGTGTTATGCTTTTGAGAAATCCTTTCACAACATCTGTACAAAAATTTCATTTCAATAAAATCTGTACAACCAATATGACAAGCCTTTAAAGATGGGTGGGGTCGAAAAATGAACATTTCGTTAGAGCACTGATCACAGAAACAACGGGAAATGTCACACCACACGTCTCAAAGTCAAGTCAGTAGCGGGTATGTCCACCGTGAGCATCGATACATGCCAGAACACGCCTACGGACTGATGACGTCAAACGTCTGATGACGTTGGGAGTGATGCGTTGCCATTCCTCGAGGAGACATCGTTCCAAGTCCTTCCTGGACGTTGACTGGAGGCACACGGCGACGTCGGATTTGCCGATCGAGGTTGTCCCATAAGTGCTCGATGGGATTCATGTCCGGTGAACATGCGGGCCATGGCAAAACCTGTACGTTGGCGTTGGCAAGGAAGTTCTGTGTCAATCTTGCTGTGTGTTGCCTTGCATTGTCATGTTGGAAAAGGAGTCCACGAGGCTGTTGCTGAATAAAGGGCACCACAACAGGCCGTAGGATGTCATCAAGATAACGCTGTGCATTCAGGTTTCCACGAATTACGACAAGCATTGTTTTGACGTCACCACATATGCCACCCCAAACCATTAACCCTCCACCTCCAAACGGCCGGACCTGTTGGATACAGTTAGGCGCCAAACGTTCACCAAATCGTCGGTATACAAGCTGCCGTCCATCGTTTCTGAAGATGAGGATTCTGCTCTCATCAGAGAACATAACACGTGCCCAGTCCCGCCGTTGCCAACGTCGAACTCGCCTGGCCCAGATCAGTCTGTTGTTCCGGTGTCGAGGCGTCAGGAGCGGTCCGCGGTAGGGATGACGTGGCCGGATACCATACTGCCGTAGTCTCCTGTAGACGGTCTGTCGACTGATCCTGTGTCCCAGTGCTTTGGCCGCCGTGGACGTCGCTGTAATACCCGGATGTAACGATCTTCACGGGGCGTGGTTACTCGTGGTCTTCCACTCCTGGGCCTGTCTGACGTCTGACCTGTCTGACGTAACCGCTGCATCAACCTGGTGATAGTGATGCGTGCGCAGCCCAACCTTCTGGCGACGTCGACGTGTGACGCTCCTTGTTGGACCATTCCAACGGCTCTCTCTCTCTCGATGGCTGTCAAACGTGGCATATCTTGTGTTCTTTTTGTTGCTGTGATATCAACGTGTCTGATCAGCCGTTTTATACAGTTTTTATGCACGTGCAGAACATGCTGGAGAGGGAAATGTCACTTTCACGAAATTTACGTTTTTTCCCGGAAGTGATCACGTGTTCCCGGTATTTTTTATCGACTATGCTGTGTTTGGGATGTGCAATACGAATTGGCATGTTTCATACTAGACAATTCACTTAGTAAATAACAATTTTGAAAATAAGTTGGTATCGTTTCTTTTGGACACTAGTTTACATCGACTCCTTCTGAGCCGAACAATAACGTCATCATTCAAAACAAGTTAAGATTTTGTAAATCTGGCCAAAATTGAGCAAGTACAAAATCTAAAAGGGTCATTACACTGCCAGTCAATATGATTCCATATTAATGATATTTTTCCGACTGTTTGTCGTTCTGTTTCCAAAGAATATAGTATTTTCAATTATCCTCTGTGACACGTGTAGCCGTTGTTCTGCATTTAATGTTCAGACCTCGCATGTGTCGGAAAGGTT